TTGGAGCTGGTTAATGTGTTATTGTTTGGGGTAAGGCAGTTTTTCTGTGGTTGACTTCTATCGTCTAATTAGTAAAATAATATGTACCTGATCAGACATAATACTTATGTAGCAATAATATTTTCTGTGAGCTGATAGTGAAAAAACTTCAATCAGTCAGGAGGTAATGGGTAGATGACTAGCTAACCGGATGTGGACACTTCGCTTGACACGGTATATACAGGAAGTGGGCGTGGCCTGCCCGTGTGTTTGTCCACCCAAAGCGATCGCCATGTTAGTTCCAGAAATTGAAAACAAGTATGGCGGTTGTTTTGGGCGTTACCCTTTTTTTATGTAATTATTTCTGTAGTTTTGCAATCGGAGTTCAGCTTTAAGTTAGACTTAAAGCTTTGGATGGAAGATGACTCACGAGGGTTTTTTGGAAGATCATTCCACATTTTAGCTGCTTTGACAGAGAATGCATATTCACCAGAACGCTTATTATATTTCGAAATCCTCCATATGCTACCATCACTTGCGGAACTAAGGTTCGATCGCCGGGGAGTATAGAAATCAAAACTTATTTTAGATAATTGGGTGCAGCTTCAGAATAAATTGATTTAAACGCATTCACAAGAGCTTTAAATTGAACCCTCATTCGAACTTGAAGGCAATGGAGTTTCTGTAACTTATCTGATATATGAACATGTTTTCCTGTTATAGTTATAAGACGCGCTATTTGTAGTCTATAAAAAGAAAGGAATTTGCATAGTCCACAAGAGGTGCTACTGGTGCTCTAACACCATTTTGGCAGGCGTCAGTATTGAGATTAGAGCGTATTCTCGAAATAGCTCTTATTGTAGTACCGTGGGCCTTCTGTCAGACGTGGAGAGCGGATGATCCTAACCGGTCGCCACATCCTACGTACGACCCATCCATCTTTTCTTACTACATTTCTTAGTAGCCGTGTGATCGTCTAGAATTTGTCGCTAGTTGTCTTTGATTCTGCTTCACGTTGTGTATTTAGTTCGTACTGCTTTCTTAAGACGTTTGTCTTACCAGGAATAACAATGCAACAGGTCAGTCGTAGCAATCGTGTTGACCGTATGGAAACTTATCCGAGCATATCTGCACGTAGCAGATTTTGGACCCAACAGGGATAATCCTATCGTAACGCATCCCACGACCTAGCATAAGCTGTGTAGGAATTTTGTGAGGCAACAGCCTTCTCGAGGATCTAAGATGTTTGGCTGATCAGTGAGTAATCTTTGAATAAGTAAGTAAAGGATCCCCTAACCCAAGAAAAACACAGGCTAGTGTTGATTTAATGATAACGTTTCAGTCTTTAATCGCACTTCATCAGATATTTTATTAGACATACAATATAAGACATACAATATAAAAATACAGAATCTAAAAGACAATAATAATAAGTATATAAGACTGATAATAAGTATATAAAAACAATTGTCTTATTGTCTTAATGAAGGAATCACCATGGATCACAGTTATCAATACAAAGTTAATGAAATGTGAAATGTTGTAATATTTTAACTACGGGGTCACCATTGATCCCAGTTATCAATACACAATCATTAAATGTAAAATATTACGCAACCATTTATTTAAATCTAAATTTAAGTCTCATTGTGTGATTTTATTGCAAAATGACTCCCTTGCAAACTACAATATTGTGAAAGATCAATACGAATATCAGTCCAAAAATGGTTCAGTTCCGTTTAGTATTTACAAAGTTATATTGAATTGAAATTTCATCGATCTGTAGGCCTACTCTTCGCTATGTAATAGCTAGCTGCTATTTTCTTGTTGGCTAATTGAAATGATAAGCACGTTTTAAATCCAATTGAATCTAAGCCGGGGGATTATTTAGCTTTCATATTTTGATTTTGTTTTCTTTATTAAATGTAGAATAATCAATGGGGTTACACTTTCTCCGTTTGCTTCTTTGTATTCACTATTCTTTATTCCTCTGTTTTGTGGTAAATGGGGCATATGCCCTAACTTTGTAGTCAATACACCTCAATTCTTTTGAACACTTAAAATGTTTCTCACTATAACATAGACCATTTAGTTTTGGACTACCTGGCTTTTTTTTTATACAATTCACCGGTATGGTTTCTTATAATTATAGTTAATATTTTACTTCAATATGCTTACATTCATATTTCATGTGGCATATAGCAGATCATGACACGTACTAGTATTACACAATGTTTTTTTCTGGGTTATATTCCTGTTTGTTAGTTTTCATTTTTGAGTGAAGTCTGTATCATCACAGACCCGGGACTATGCGGCGCAGTGGACGCATACGGTGTATTCCCACGAAGGCGCAGTTACGGAGCGTGACCAAAATTAATCCTTCCCACGAAGGCGCAGATATCGACTTGTCGGCTTTCGTTTTATCAGAGACATGTTGCTATTAGGACCCAATTAACGGTGTTAAAGATTTTATGAATTGATGTTCACTATGAATAACAACACTCTGGAAGGATGGCATGCAAGAATCAAGAAGCTAGTTGGAAAAGCCCATCCGAATGTTTTTGAAAATATTAACCACCAAGGAAGAGATATAAATATGCTCAAATCCAAAGCCAGCTCCATGAATTGAAAGGAAGACACGAGGAAGAAGAATTGACTTTAGTCGAGTATTTAGACAGGGTGTCTTATTTGGCGAAATTAAATTAATCTTTGTTATAGTGTAGTTATGTTTTCATTTCTTATGCCAAAATGATGCTAAAATGTTGGTTAATTAGTTCCATTGGGGATTATGAAAGTGTAAATTCTTATCATAGCAATCTATAACACCATTGTTACGATTTTAATCCATTTTAATCCCTAGGAGCTGGATTCTCACGAAGTCGTCGAAAACGACCCCGTTTAATCCGTTACGGTCAATAACTGCGCCTTCGTGGGAATAAACCACGCATACATACGGCTAGTCGCCGGACGCATCCATTTAATCTGATATGTACGTTTGTTTGTGATTTCTGCGTATTGTGTCTTGTTCGTAGATTTGTTTAATATAATTGTGTGGTGCAGTCCCTCTGCGCTTACTATTAGAGTGGATTAAGCAGTGAACAATTTCATATTTTAGCGACAAATGCAACAGATACTATTTTCTGTTTGACACACGATGACTCGGGCTTTATTAAAGTTTTAACTAAAGTTTTATGAACTGAAAAATACTAGATGTATTCAATAACCAAAGAATAATTTAGTTATTTGAATCCTCGATCTTTAATTACAAATGAATACCACACCCCTTCTCTTTTTTACACAATTGTCATCATAAATTTACTGTTTATAACGTCACATGATTATTTGATATATAACACCTAACAAAATGGATTGCTTTTCCATTTTAATAAAAACTCAATTTTTGTCACATAAATCTCGTCTAGAATGGCGTTAAACCCCATTTCAAAACAGACATTGCGGTCTCCCTCAAGTAATGATGGTACAACAGACTACCTCATTCTGGCCAAACATGCTGATGATGGGTAGACGCACCTTGAAACATTCCAAAATTCCAAAACCAACATGTCTGAGGCTGGTGTATCAGTGAATACCTCTTTCGTCAGGACTCCATAGTGGGCTATTCGATCTGACTCAACAGATAGAAAGATACCAGCTCCACGGTACCCAATCTCTCTTTCGAGGGTTACGGTCTAAATGTGGTATTTATTTACGTGGATGGTTCTATAGATGGTGATCGGATAGACTGGGCTACCGTCACGCCATCGAAAACAATTTCTGTGCGTCTTCCACCTGCTGCTTTCATGTGTACAACTGAGCTCCAGATCATTCTCCCGTCTTCCTTAGCCCAGTTCGGAGCAGAACAGTAAGACGTTAAACCCCATTAATTTTCACTTCCAGAAAATTCTTCATTAGATTTAAACAAAAAATAATCTGTTCTGTTTATAGTTGTCCTAAAAATCGTCTGCTACTATCCTATGAGTTGATCGGAAAGGACATTAACCTTTTTTGGATCCTCAGTCACATGGATATCAACGGGAATGATTAAGCAGATTCGGCTTTCAAGTCGGCTTTAGATCTCCCCATATCCGAATTTATAACACCTATGGCAACGGTCTGGGGATCGTACATGCACAAACAATCACATGAAGCCTCCCTTAGGAGACTGCCTCAACAGGAGGATAAAGTTGTTTCATGTCGTTGTTGCATAGGTTAAAGGTGTTTAAAGGAGCTAAATCGCTAATATCTGGGACCTAGAAATTGACACAAATGGGTCGCAATGCATATAATAATGTGATATGAATGTATATCAACTGATTTATATTCAATCGTTTCCGTTTTTACTCTAATTTCAAATCAGTTATGTTCTGCGAAATACGCCAAAAGTCTCAATCGAATGACAATCTCTATCGTCTGGTTATTCTAGTCTACATAGTATTTATTGCGTATACACTCCAGATATGAATCCGTCACCTTTTGACATGACTTTTGGAATATGCCTAGCCTCGTTCTTCGAGTCCCTTGTTAAAAATGGGCCTGGAACGCATTTTGGTACACGATTCGTATATCAATGGTAAAATATTTATTTTGTCTTAAATATTGGATATTAGAGGCCCATCTTTTCCCGGTAAGATCACACAACAATGTTGATTTAAATTGACAAATAATTCGTGTTTTCAATGTCGAGGACTTTGAATGATATTGAGTTAGAGACTTAGCTACTTTAACACATATTTTCAGCTTGAAGCGATAGCTTCAACCAGAATGTAAACATTGTCATTCCCCTTTGACTATTCAACACATCTTGATTGTGTGTAGGTATCTCAAGAACATTAGATCACAGTACTAACGTTGCCAGTCATCAAATCAATTATTCGCCCAACCGGGTCTATATTGCAAAATCATAGATATAAAAGAGACAAATTGTTATAGAAAATTTTAATTGTAAATATTATATATCACCTTGTTTTTCATCTTTAAATATTGATTATTTAATATTCTGTGATACTTTGTTTAATTTATGCACGATTGCATATAGTTTGTCTCATGTAAATCATCAGATATGTTTGGCGCAATATAGCTCGCTTGGTGCTGACATGCCATTTACATTTCATTCATTCATTCCGAAACCAACAATTATCACAGAAAATTAATTATAATTAAATTACAATAAATATGGTTAAAATGTTTTGAAACACAAACTAGATCATTTCGGGACTCGGGACTAACATAATGGTTCAATTTTATTTCAATAATTCGCTTCCGTGTAGGGGTCTTTAGCAGTGGGAGGAAACCGGAGGACCCGTAGAAAAGTCACGAAGTTGGACAGGCTTCCAGGTTAAAGTCAGTCAAATGGAAATGTAATGAGACCGATCCTAAGTAAGCGTTCATACGCGGGAGAAAATGCGAACAAAAAGTTGTTAGCTCGATGAGCGACTTTTCCACAGTTTTTCCGCAGCGGTTTTGCTGAAATTATATAAAATGTTGACAATCTGTGACGCCGGAGGCACGAGAGGCTGCGCAGCAGCCGATGTAGCGCGATAGGGAGTGTATGCCAACATATTTTACGGGGTTAAACTAAAACATCACACCAACATATTGGGATATGTACAGGTTTTATACAGATAGAATCTTAGCTAATCCTAATAATTGTAAATAAATAGGAGTTAGGGCCTACTATGTTAATTTTTTGGGGGTCCAAGTATATTCAGACGCAGACTGGTCAATCAAACTTCAGTAATAAGTTTAGATTCTCGATTATCACTGGGAGACATGTTAAAGTACATTATGAACAGAACGATTATCAAAATGAATATACAAATAATGAGTACATTGTTCCAAACATTAAGATTTGGGGTGGCCTCATTTGATTTCTGTTTCTGCTTCTCCACTGGTATAGGTTTTTGTTTCTCCTTCTCCGTCTTTGGCTTTCGATCTACCATCGAGCCATACACCATCCCGACTCTTCTTAATCGACGATTTTTGTCATTATTTACGTACCTATTTAAATGAGGCTCTGATGAAAGAGGTGGAGTAGAATAACCCGGAATTGACGGAATCCATGATGGAATAGGAAGTCCGGTACCTGCAAAATGTAAAGATATATGTATGAGTAGTATGGGAGGGTTTATAGGGACGCACGTGCTGCGCATGCGCGCACGCATGCGGGTACACGTGATCTTGACCTTGCACGTACGTGACCTTGCACTGAATGACTCCGTGACCTTGCACTGATTGATCCCCTGCACGTGCGTGACCCCGTGACCTATAAAAGAGAGGGGCGCGCGCGGGAGAGAGAGAGAGCAGAAGAAAGAAGAGAGCAGAAGAAGAGAGAAGAAGGGAGAAGAAGAAGAAGAAGGGGGAGAAGGGGGGAGGGGGAGAGGAAGGGGAAACAACTCTTTTTACATTGCATAAGTTGGCCCTGAAAAGGGCCGTTGTCCTCACTAGAACGTGAGGGTGAGACGCACTTTATGTCGGTTGCGTCGGATGGTCTCCACTAATTCGGGAGGAGGTCTTTTCCTGGGAGGTGTTTTTAATACCTCGTCAGGTAAGACAAAGATATCGTCAGGGGTAATCACGGCAAGAGTATTACCCCTGAGATACAAGAGGGTATCTACGCTGGGGTTTTCCTCGAGGCGGATGATAGGAGCGCCGTCACCCATTCTGATACTGAGAGATGAATGTTGTGTCGTTTTATTACCGTAAGGACGAATCCATTTGACAGACGAGTCCATTCGTGGAGTGACGTCACAGGACGAATCCATTTGAGAGGTATGACGTCACAGACGAGTCCATTCATGGAGCGACGTCACGGCGCTTAGCATAACGTTATACATCGTAGATTGAACGTTGGAAGCTAAAAATAGACGTGATGCAACGTTATACAACGCATGTGCAACGTTATATCACGTGGGGTGTACGATATCGAACGTTTGATGACGTCACGGCATAAGGGGGATAAAAGGGAGCGGCGCGATAGGTTCTGACACTTTCACGCTATCACCGAACCGAGCAAGATGAGTTTTTCATTACGACCCGTCGACAGAAGATACAGTAGATTGTTTAGAACCGAATCGCTATGTGTGGACATAGATTTTCTGGAGGATTGGTCCCACGTTCCGGCCGTAGATGTACCACAGCAATTACACGACACCTTTGAGGCCATTATTGAGGAAAATCGCCAAACCTTGGACGCTAGAGAAAGTGACTACGTTAGAATAGCCATCAGTCACCCAGGACTCAAATCACCTATTTGGTTACCGTTTCGTGAGCATCGTTTGTTAAAAGCCGAAGACCTTTTACAGAAAGTGGCTGCCGTATTACAGAGTAATGAAGAATTTCGACTGGATCAGCGCATGTCCATGAATATCTGTCACGTGTCACTTCCGGATGGCAGAGGTAGCGGTAAAACAAACGTGAAGAAGAGACACTGCGCTATTTTCGACGAGTATTTGAAGAAAAAGAGATGTCTCGTCACCATCAAAAATGCCGACGAATTATGTTTTCAGCGAGCCATTGTCGTCGCCCGTCACTTTGCCAACAAACAGAACACACCTGAATGGGAAAGAGAAAGGAACAGATTACAGAGGAGGGCAGGACCCCAATCGTGGCAGACGAAGAAAACGGAAGCTCTCATCGATGCCGTCGGTGGAACCAGGGAACCTTGTATGGGGATGGAAACGTGGGAACTGTATGCCAAGTATTTGGGCCAACAAGGATACCAACTCAACGTTTTCTCTCAAGCCATCTTTGGTAAAGCGATTTATCGCGGAACAAAACACGTCAACGGAACACCAAAACATCTGAACCTGTATTTACACAGCAGACATTATGACGTCATTACCTCCATGCCCGCCTTTGTGGAAAGGTCGTATTTCTGCGAGACCTGTCAGGTGGGATACCATAGTGCCGAGAAACATTCGTGTCACGTCATGTGTCAAGGTTGTAAGAAAGTGGGTCCACCCTGTCCACCCGATCCCAATACAAAGACTTGTTACCGATGTCATCGTGTGTTTATGAGCCGGCAGTGTTTCGACAACCATCTTGCTACCCGTTCCAGAGCCAACTGTAGTATATGTCACCGGTGGAAGAAATGCGAAAAGTGTCAAAAGGAGTGGACGTCATCAAAGCCAAGCGAAATTTGGAAGAACATCGATGCGGAGAATACGAGTGCTCCAATTTTGTTACATTCAACCGCTAAAATCACCCATCGACATGAACGGAGACAGGAAGACACAAATCGACAAACAGCAGAAAACAACGTTGACCCGCTTTGTCTTCTTTGACTTTGAATGCCAGCAAGATTCCGGGGAGCACATTCCCAGCCTATGTGTTCTGCAAGTGTGCTGTCACTTTTGTATCGACAACCAAGAACCCTGCGAGCACTGCGAACCAATATTGTTTTTAAAGGTCAAGACACGCTGGACGATGTGGGAAAATGGTTTTTGCAACTCGCTGCTCACGGTACGGTGGTAGATGGTCGGAAAAATGACAGTCACGGATCGAGTCCCGTGATTGCCGTGGCGCACAATTTCAAAGGTTACGACGGACTGCTGATTTTACAGACGCTGCACAAACATTTCCTGGCGCAACCCGAAGTGATTATGAACGGGGGTAAAGCGATGATGATCACTGTCGGCACGGTAAAATTCATCGATTCCCTCAACTTTCTACCCATGCCTTTACGGGACATGCCCAAGACCTTCGGCCTGCAAGAACTCAAGAAAGGTTATTTCCCTCACCACTTCAACAGACCGGAGAATAAAGATTACGTGGGCGCCTATCCCCCCCGACACCGATTACGATCCAGATGGTATGAGTGTATCGGAACGAGAGAAGTTTCACGAGTGGTACGAACAGCACAGTCACGATGTCTTTGATTTTCACCAGGAAATTTTGGCCGAGTCGGCCCTTACAGTTTAGATGGTATGGACACGACCACCGGTACAGTGTACGAATTTCACGGGTGTGCCTTTCACGGTTGTCCCAAATGTTTTCCGGGCCCCGTCCAAGACGTTCAACATAAACATCCCTACGATCCCTCTCGTAGTATGAGAGACTTGTACCAGAAGACCCAAGAACGTCACCGTCAACTCCAGGAGCAGTACGGTATGCAGACCATCCGTGTCATGTGGGAGTGTGAGATGGAGGAAGAACGACGCCAAGATCCCGAGATGAACGAATTTCTGAGCGGATTGGAAGATCAGCAATGGCCAGTCCCCGAACCTCTTATGCCCCGCAATGCTTGCTTCGGCGGGAGAACCAATGCCATTCAACTGATGGTCAACGAGTCGGCCGAAGACATGCGCTACATCGACGTGGTGTCTCTCTACCCCTACATTTGAAAGTACGGTACGTTTCCCATCAAGGAACCCACGATCGTCACACAGCCCGATCAAGACCAGTGGCAGCAGTACGAAGGGTTGATCTAGTGTTCCGTTTTACCGCCTCGTGGCCTGTACCACCCGGTGCTCCCTTTTCGACGCAAACAGAAATTGGTGTTTGCCCTGTGTCGAAGCGGCGTCGACGAACATATGCAACAAGGAGAGATTGCCGAATACCAATCTTGTGATCACACCGATGAACAGCGAGTCTGGGTGGGTACGTTTGTCACCCTGGAACTGAAGAAAGCGGTGGCTCTGGGATACCGCGTATTGAAAGTGTACGAAGTCTGGCACTGGAAACAATTCAGCACCTACGATCCCGAGGCCAAAACAGGAGGTGTATTTACCGGTTACATCAATCACTACCTGAAGAAGAAGATGGAAAGTAGCGGTTATCCCGACACCTGTCACACCGAAGAAGATAAGACCCGCTTCGTGAACGACGTGTACGACACCGAAGGTATTCGCCTGGATCCCGCGTCCATAAAACCCAACAAAGGTATGCGGGCGTTTAGTAAACTTCAATTGAACACAGCGTGGGGAAAATTCGGACAGAGAGACAACTTTCCCAAGACAGAATATATCACGGAGCCCAGCGACTATTTTGAGAAAATGTTGGGCGTGACCCAGACCGTGCAAGATGTCCAGTTAGTCAACGACAATATGGTATTGGTAGAAACACTGAAGAAAGAAGACCACGTCGCACCCTGTCCCATCACCAACTTGGTTATCGCCGCCTTTGTCACCGCCCAGGCCCGCTTGAAACTCTATTCCGTCTTGGAAAAGCTGGGGGAACGTGTTTGTTATTTTGACACGGACAGCGTCATTTACCAATACCACTCCACCTCATGGAATCCCCCGGAAGGTTCAAGTTTGGGTCAATGGAAGAACGAGTTGCCCGAGAATGTTACCATTAAGGAATTTGTTAGCGGAGGGCCAAAGAATTACGCGTACAGGCAAAGTGATGGAAAAACTGTCTGCAAAGTCCGGGGATTCGCCCTGAATTATCGTGCCTCCCAACAACTCAATTACAACATCACGAAAGAGAATGTACGGCACGTCAATCAAAACGAACCGCTTGTCATCGCCAATCCGTTCAAGATTTCCAGATCACGTGACCGACGTCTCTGGACACGCCCCGAGAACAAAAGATATAAAATCGTGTACGACAAACGTTTTGTTCAATTTAACGACGATGGCCAACCGATTAACACTTACCCCTATGGATACTGACTTTCGTGTCTCAGGACCAAACAGAGAAGATGACGAACCGGCGGAAAATACAGATTTGATCGAGAAACTAAGACGACGATGGCTCAACTTTCGGGTCTGCAAATGTTACTTACCCATCATAGAGGAAAAGCAACGCGAGGAGTGTATCGGCTGCAAGTACGAGCATCCCAGTCAGAGATACCATTCGTGTCTGGGATTGGGCGTGTGTTCCATAACGGGCGTACCCGCACATCCCGTCGACGATTACAATCACTACCTCTGGGTGGACGAGCCGAAACCAGAAGACATCGATAGCGTGCTAGGCAGTATGATGGACGATCAACGGGACCGAGTCAAGAAGTGAGAGGATGAACAACGATGGCGAGAAGACGTCGACGAAGCCTTGAAAAAGTTTTGGCGTGTGGTTCCGGGATTTAACACGGGGTTGATCAAACGCAAAGACGAGTTCCTCGAACCCAAAGACGAAGAG